CTCCTTTGTTACAACAGAAAGGCAAATGGAATTATCAAAAATTATCAAATTATCACTAAGAGTCAATGTGTGATAATTGTTATCACTCCAACCGTGCTATTGAAGTCATTTACGATTGCTGGGCTGGCTGGTGCAAGTTGAGACTTCCACGTTATTATTTAGGCTCACAGAGCTTGGTGGGCTTCTAGGCTTCTTCCCATCAGATTTGTCCTGATCCTACTGGGCCAACTGTACTATGAAATTTGTAGGTGCAGCATGGCCGTGTATATGGTTGCATGGTCCGACGCTATACAGTGGGAAGGATTTGGTGACTTGGCAGTTTGATGAGGTTCAATTGTGGAGCTGGGCTGTTTCTATGTTAGATGTGTCTGATGTCAGGTATGTCAGTGACCTGCTGGGCCTTCAGACAGAAAGGGGAATCTGCCTGCCCTCCTTCCAAGAAGGACACAGCATTGTCAACCGCAACCAGCTGGGCAGCCTCCGGTTCTTTATTGAGTTTAGTTGTGGAGTTGGGCTATTTTTCTCTGCCCAGTCATTTTCACTTTAATACAAGAGTTGGCATGATTTATCTTACCGTTTTAAGCTTAATTTCCTCTGCAATGTTTTAGCAACACAGCAGACTGAGGAAATACATATATATCTGAAGGGAAATGAATGTGTGAATAGTATATGCTTTAATATTTCCAAATTTTATTTATCTTTTGAAAGAACCCCTAATATCTTCTACCTCCCATGAAACCATCTACACTCTTTCTCCGCCTTCCCTTTAAATACTCTGGTTTACAAAGGTGTTCATGATTTGTTCCAGACATTCAGTATTCTAACCCCAGTCCTACCACCACTCTCATCTTCCCTTCACCATTGTCTCCATTTTCCCAATCACCCCTCAAGCCTGTCTCCATATTAGGCCTACAGTAGATTATTTTATATTGCTTGTTATCATTAAATGGTGAACAGAAAAATCAAAAATATTTCCATAGAAGAAACTTTGTGAAAATTATTATATCTCACCATGGGGATATTAAGTCCTTATCTCAGGGTTTACTAGCTGTTGTTGTAAGTTAAGCCTTCTCTGTTGATATGTTTGTTAGTCGAGATTGTTAGTCGAAATTGCATTACATTCCTATCCAATCTGGTGTGCTACTACTGGGCATAAGTGTTTTAGATTTTGAAGATGTCTATTAGGTGCTGCATGCTTCAGAAAATCTAGAATATTTAAGCAGCCAGTCAGGAGGCATGGCAGAAGCTTTGGGATGTGGCAGTGACTGCTCGGGCTTTGTTGGGGTGCTGGTTGGTCCACCCTGCTCCAAGAGTGCCCTAGAGGTCTCAGAGGAAACAGGTGTCTGAGAAATTTTTGTGGCTAGATTATCTCTTTTGAGATTTATTTCTGAGTCTCTGGAACAGGGCTGGGAGATGAGCTTCCACGGCCATGGTGGGATTTAGGTATGGCTGCCTGGGCTTTGGGAAACCTGGGGAGGTTGGGGGAGATCACCCATCCAGCTCTGAGAAGGCCTAGAGTTTTCATCCACAATGACTCAAGTACCTGGAGTTTTTGGTAGATCTCTATGGTACTCAGTCCTGAGGTGGTGGGGTCTGGCTGGGGGCATCGTGTACACTCTTTCATCTACCCCAAAATCTCTTCTCCTTTTGCAATCTAAACTTTGTTGAATATGCATGACTACTGGCTTATTTTTAGTTCTATTTGTTCATTGGTTTTCTTTCTTTACATTGCTCACATAGATAAAACCAACCAATTTTTGTCTTTATCCTTTTGACTTACCCCTTAAGTCTGCACAATCCTTTGCTGCTGATGGCAAAATTTTCTCTTTTAAAAATAGGTTAAAAATAGGTGAAGAGTGTTCTCCTCTATGCGGGCACGTGTGCATGCAATCATGTGCACATGTGCATACACCACATCTTTCTAACTGTCATCTGTTGATGATGTGCACCTTTGTTTCCATTTTGCAACTTTTAAATAATTCTACAAACAAACATTGGGGTGATATAATTTTCAAATGAACAACTTTATATTGGATATACCTAAAAATGGGACGGCTGAATCTTAATTTTGATGAATCATCATGAGATACATTTACAGACTTACAGGCTTTCATGATTGCGTTTCAGTCAAACAATATTCAAGTACCCATCCCTCCACCAGTGCCCAGCTGTTCTGGGAAAATCCACCACCACTGTTCCCAGTGTCCCTCCCCCCACCCCCACCCCTTCCCACCTCCTGATTCTGGTGCAGGCACAATCCCTCTTACGCTCTCTGTCCTTTGGGGTGTTATGGTTTGCACTACAGGTAACAAGCAGCCATCATGTTTGCTCCATAATCTACTTTCAGCATGCATCTACTATCCTGAGCAATCTCTCTAACCATCACTTATTTAGTGTTCCTCTCTCCGTCCCAGCTACACCCCCTCCCCCACGCGCATGAGATGGGCTATCAAGCCATGCGGCAGTCCTCCTAACCCTTATTTCAACTGTACTTAGGTGTTAGTCTTCTATTGTGTTACTTTGTACTCTACAAATGAGTGCCTCTCCCTGATGATTATTGATGAAGAGCATTTTTTTTCATGTGTCTTTTGGCCATTCGGATTCCTTCTTTGAGAAAGTTTCTGTTCATTTCATTGCCCCGTTTTCTGATGGGATTGGATGTTCTCTTCTTGCAGATTTCAACCAGTGCCTTGTATACCGTTGATATTAACCCCTTATCAGAGAGGTATTGGGTGAATATCCTTTTCTATTCTGTAGACTGTCTTTGTATTCTGGTCACTGTTTCTTTTGAGGAACAGAAACTTCTTAGTTTAAGATAGGGACTGCTGAATCTTATGGTGGTTCTGATTTGAGCTTTGAGGAAGCTCCTTGCTGTTTCCCAGAGTGGCTGCAGGAATGGGTCTTCCCAGCAGTGGTACAAGAGCATTGTTTTATCCACGGCCTTTCGAGGACATTGTTTTTTATGTAATTTGCCCTACAGATGTGAAATGTTGTCTTGTGGTTTGGGTTTGACAAACCTTTTCTTATGTTTCTGTTGATCATCTTTATATCCCTTCTGGATAACTTTCTATTCAGATCACTCTTCACTTAAATGACTTGTTCTAGTTCTTTTTAAACCTTGCATGTGAAATTTTTCTCAGATGTCTGATACGTATTTCATCCACTCAGTATGTTGTCATTTTGTTACGCTAACATTTTTTTAAGCCGTACCCAAATCCTCAGATTTTGTTGTTTTGGGTGTTCAGGGATCACTCCTTTTCCTGTCCTCAGGGATCACTCCTGGCAGAACTTGGGGGGCTGTACAGGGTGCCAGGGATTAAACCCTGCTCAGCCCTGTGTAAGGTTTGTGTCCCACCTGATGTCCTATCACTCGGGCCTGAGAGGCTCTCAGCTTGAGAAGGTTTCAGCTGACTATCTTTGTTTGCTTTCCCCTGGTCTTTGAGGTGGACTCTGGTGCCATCGCTCACTCTCCCAACACAAGCCTCTCACCTTTAATCTTCTAGGGCTGTTTTCAGATCTTTGATCCACTAGATCTGTTTTCGTGCATCTTATTGGAGTCGTTCATTCACATCCTTTTACATATGGGCGTCTGGTTTTCCAAAAACTGAACACTATTTGTTGAAGAGATATTTCTCTGCTATTTGTTCAAGACTCTTCTGCCATGGTGTGGTGGAGTAATATGTGTTTTACTGACATTGGCTTATCTCAGTACCAGAGAGTGGGAGTGACAGTGTACACATTTCATATTTTAATACCTGTTTAGGATCAGAGAAGAAGACATGTCTCTGAAATGATAAGAGTGGATTTCCATAAGATCTAGAAGGAAACCTCAAATGGCATTTATATTTATTTGGGTGCTCACAAAATATTAAGAAATACTTTTTGGATTTAAGCAAATTGGGGTACAAGTGCAGGAAAGATTTGTCTAGATTGCTTTTTAAAAATAAGCACAAGCCCATTTGTCTTCCTTAGAAGTGCCTTTCAATCCCCCGCCTCCCCTAAAACCCCCCAAGACAAAAACCAAACACCCAATAAAAAAGCAACTAAAACGCTTGAATTTTATTTTGAGGGGTTCTGGGTTAGATGGGGGAAGGTGTTTATTTATTTTGCTGCCAGGGGCCGGGCGGGATAGCTTGGGACTCCCCCTTTCGGAGGGGGCACTCTCTTTTACCCCTTCGTCCAACCCCTTACCTTAGTGGCGCAACCCATCCGAGCTACTGCCAGCCCAGTGGCGCGGGGTAGGTGCCGGCCGTCCCGGGCAATCTGGATGCACCGGCCCCAGTGTGAGCGGGCAGCAGGAACGTGCGTGCTCTGTGGCTTGGGCTGGGAAAGACGCTCACCTGACTCGCCCTAGCTCAGGGCGCGGCGTTTCAGCCAAGCGCGAGCAGAACCGCGTACGGGGCGCTCGGACAGGGCGGGGGAGGGACGCGGGCGCACCCGGTGTGCTCCCAGCCCGGTGCTCGGCCTGGGGTCTGCAGGAACGGGTGCCCCGAGCGCGCGGCCAGCGCGGCCAGCGCAGCTGCAGGTGGCCCAGGAGCTGTCCAGCACGAGGGCGGCCAGGCCGGTGCTCGCTTGAGCCCGGGAGCCGTCGCCGCCCTCCGCCCCGTTGTCGGTGACTCCTCCACCCCGGGCCGCCCGGCCTCCCCTTCTCGGCGTCTCCCGGGGGTGGTGGGAGGTCCCGCCGGGCCTGGCCCTTTGCCGCGAACTTGCCCGGTGAACTCGGAGAAAGGAGGGGAGAGAACAGAGACACCCCAGCCCCGCCTCCCCGGGACCCCCGCCGCCTGCCGCTGCCCGCGCCCCTCGGGGCCGCGCCCTCGGGAAGGCTGCGCGCCTGACGGGAGGGGGCGGGAGCCGGGAGGGCGCGCAGAGGACGACGCCCGGGTGTCCCCGCCGCTCCCGAAACGTGGTGCCCGGCGGGGCTACACTCGCGCTGAGTGTGCGGGGCCACGTGACGCCGGCGGAGGGCGCGCGTGGGGCGGGGGGGGGCGGGCGGCGGGCGAGGCGCGGGAGCCGCGCGGGCTGCAGAAGCCTCGGCGCGGCGGCGGCGGCGGCGGCGGCGGCGGCTCCCGGGCTGTGGTGCTCCCGGGCTCCCCGACTCCCGGATTGCGGTGCTCCCGGGCTCCCCGGCTGCGGTGCTCTCCGACTCCCGCGCTCCCCCACTCGGAGCCTCTCGGCGGGCGGCAGCCCGAGCAGCAGCAGCCGCCGCCGCCGCCGCCGCAGCAGTAGCAGAGGCGGCGGCCGCCCCAGCCCAGCCCCGCGCCGCCGCGGAGCGCGGGCCCCGGAGCCGCCGCGGCGCCTCAAGTTCCCGCCATGAGCGCCCGGCGCCCCCACGGCTCACTGCCGGCCCGGCGCCCCCGCCGCGCCCCGAGGCCCCGCCGCGCCTAACGCCGCCGCCGCCGCCGCCGCCGCCGCTCCAGCCGCCCCGGCCCCGCCGCGCCGCCCCGGCCGCCGTCGCCCGCAGCATGTCTCGGAGGAAGATCTCGTCCGAGTCCTTCAGCTCCCTGGGCTCCGACTACCTGGAGACCAGCCCCGAGGACGAGGGCGAGTGCCCCCTGGCCAGGCTCTACTGGAACGGCAGCCGCAGCCCGCCCGGAGCGCCCGAGCCGCGCGCGCCCGCCGCCCCGGCCCCGGCCCCGGCCCCGGCCGCGGCCCCGGTCCCGGCCGCGTCCGCCGCCGCCGCCGCCGCCGCCGCCACCGCCGGGGCCCGGAGGGTTCAGCGCCGCCGGCGGGTCAACCTGGACTCCCTGGGCGAGAGCATCAGCCGCCTGACGGCACCCTCGGTGAGCTGCGGGGCGCGGGGGGCGCGGGCGGGGAAGTGGCCCCGGCCGCTGGGGGGCGGCCTGGCGGGGCCCCTGCCCGGGTTCCTCGAGCCCTGCATCCCGAGACCCTCAGCTGCGCCCCCGCGGAAAGGGGTTTCGGTGTCCCAAGCCCTCGCGCCCGGGACCGCCGCCTCCAGCCTGGGGGCCCCGTGGCCCCGGAGCGCCTCCACGCCCACCTGTTTTCTTTGCCCCAAACTTTCCCGGACGCTGGGACCCGCGCATCCCACTTCCACGTCTCTCCTGTCGCGCTCCGCTCCGGGACCCGCCACCCCCACTCCGGGCTGCCAGCGAGCCCCGCGCATCCTAGGAACGCCACCGTGGCGCCCCCGCCGCTCCCGGCCTGGGGCTTCGGGGTTCCCTCAGCCGCAGGCATCGCCCGCCTCCCCCCGCGGAGTTCTTGTTGCCAGCCTCCAGGAATGGGAATTCATTGGCTCCTGCTCTCTGAGTCCGTCTGTGTCCGGGTTCTGGAACTTCAAGGTGTTTTTGGCACCCGCGCTTCATTCTTCACTTTTCCCCCGAATTCGGGGATCCGTGATCTTCTCTGGGGAGCTTCAGAGGCTGTGGGGGTGGGTAGCACTGCCCAGCTGCTTCCCTCGCGGGCCGCTCATCTTCCCGGCTCAGCCATCCCAGGGGTGCTTCTCAGCGCCCCAGCACCTAGGCAGCACTGTGCTCCCCAGTACAAATGCGTTTCAGCCACCCCAGGTGGTTCCCGGGTGTGGGAGCTGGAGCGTGACTGCCCTCCAGACCCTGGGAGAGTCCCATTTGCAGGACCCCACTCCACTCTGCCTGCAAGTGGGATCAGAGAGGCCCCTTCATCGTCATTTTCACCCCGACCTCCGGAAAGACTTAAATTGCTGACAAGCCTTGGTAGCCCCCCAACTCCTGAGACCTCTGTGAAGTTCCCAGAATGACGCAGTGTTCGGCTCTTTGCTGCAGACTCTTGCACCCCCAGCTAGGTGGCACCTGCTTGGGAGCCAGCGCTCTTTGGGCTAGGTCTGGCATCTCTCTGGCCCTTTGACAGGTGTGTCCTGTGGTCCTTGCCTTTTACGGTTAAAGAACGTCCTTTTATCTATTAGCAGTCAGGTTCCTTTTCACCTTACTATCTTATATTTACTTTCCACCTCCAGTCTGCCAGTTCCTTCCTTGGTAAGTTAAGGGCAAAGCTCAGGAGAGGTTGGCTACTGTTTCCTGTTGCTCCTGGGAATTTTCCCAGGCCCCATAGCCTTCTGAGCTGTTGGTGTAAATTGCTGATTACACACTTTCATAAGAGCTGGGCAGCCCGTGGCCCACTGGTCAGTGTCAGTGCCAAAGCAACATTGTGTTGGATACATCTTCAGTGCTGCAGCTTCATGCAGAAACCATGATTTGACTGAAGATTAATTTATCTGGGCCTGGGGGAAAGGGGCTTCCCAAGAGGTGCTCAGAAAACCTGTTAATTATTGACCCAGTAGTTAGAGGTTGAGGTGTTGTTCAGGCACTGCAGTGTGGAGATCACCTCTGCACCCTACTGACCTCCAGGATTGCAGAGTGGTGCTGGGGATGGAACCAGGGTCCCCCACCTCCTACTTGACCTCTGTACTATCTCTCTGACCCCAATGATTAATTTCGTGAAGATTGTTTTTATAATTTCAGAGTTTTCTTTTTGCCAGAGAATTTACAGATTTCTAAAAAGAGTCATAGCAGAGGCTCTGGTAATGTCAATTTAACCTAAGTTTTCAACAACTTACGTGAATGGATAAAATAAAGCATCTACTACCAAAACAAAGAGGGGAAAATAGTCTCTGATTTTTACCTTTATAAATCAAATTTGAGTGATGCCAGCCTTTTATTGGCTAGAAAACTATATCCTGGACCAGAGGGATAGTACAGTAGGGAAGGAACTTGCCTTCTATGCAGCTGACCCGGGTTCAATCTTGGGAACACCCATATGGTCCTTTGAGGCCCTCCAGGTGTGATCTCTGAGCAGAGAGCCAGGAGTAAGCCCTGAGTACCACTGGGTGTCGTCCAAAAACCAAAAGACAAAAAAAAAAAGAGAGAGAGAGAGAGAGAGAAAACTATCCTGATAGTAATTTTTACGGTAAGACATTTGAAAATAATGGTTATTACTAAGTATATGCTATAGGTGTTTTTACTTTCCATGCTGTAATTTTTGAAAACAGTCTCACATACACAGGTGAATGTAAACCCTTTCAGGACCATAAGGCATGCAGGAATGAGTCTTGCTTGACTGCCTGCATCACTATAGACACAGAGAAGACATCATATTTTAAAACAGTTACTTATTTCTGTTGGCTCCACCCTAGCTTTTATTTCAAAAACTAGAGCACATGCTTTTAAGTTCCAGCAGATTTCTCTCCTGAAGTGTCAGGATCCTAAACTTCTATTTTTTCTTTTTGGGTCACACCCGGTTCTGCACAGGGGTTACTCCTGGCTCTGCACTCAGGAGTTACTCCTGGTGGTGCTCAGGAGACCATATGGGATGCTGGGAATCAAACCTGGGTTGGCTGCTTGCAAGGCAAACACCCTACCCACTGTGCTATCTCTCCAGCCCCAGGATGTTCCATCTATTTTTCTTTTATTTAAGCCAAAGGGCTGGAGTGATAGTGTAGCGGGTAGGGCATTTGCCCTGCATGTGGCTGACCGGGGTTCAATTCCTCTGTTCCTCTCGGATTGCCCAGCAAGCTACTGAGAGTATCCCACCCGCACGGCAGAGCCTGGCAAGCTCCCTGTGGTGTATTTGATGTGCCAAATACAGTAACAACAAGTCTCACAATGGTGATGTTACCCGTGCCTGCTTGAGGAAATCCATGAGCAATGGGAGGACAGTGCTACCGTGCTACATTTGAGCCGAAAGGCTTTGAAAAACAACAATAAATCTCTGTAAATAACTGTTCCAGAGCATTTGGCGATGGGGTTGCTGGTGGTTCTGAGTGTCCTGAGTTTTCCTGCCTCTCCATGATGGGATGTTCTGGATTCTGCAAAGATGTACATTGTATTGGCAAGGTTTTGGGAAATTGTTGTAATTGCAATGGAAAGAAAAGCATGTATTAGGAGATTTAAGTCTGATAAAAATACAATACTTTCTTAAGTGGGAACAAAAGTAATACTTATTCTACTGAATTATGAAGAAATATTTGAGGATGTACTGTGTGGTGGGTACTGTACTATGTGGCTAACAGAGCAGTCTTAAGGGAGTTTTATTCGTCATTCACTTTAGATCATTCACTGTGAATCTCTAAGGCACAACCAGTATCATAAAAACAACCCTAAAGACCTGAGTGAAGGTGCATAAATCACTTACCATGTTCTTTATTTTGAAATGATTTAGTACTTGGGAACACATATGGAGTAGCAGCTGGGATTTTTTTACATCAGGGTGAGTTTAATGGTTTATTTATTTTTATTCCTAAAAAAAGAGAATTTGTTACAACCATGATCCCTTTGACCTTGGGGTTTCCTTTGCTACAAATAGCCTATGGATGAGGATCCTTCAGGAGACCACATCAAAGGCAAAGTTCTTTCAGTTTCTTGTCAGAGATCCAGTGACTGTGGCAGCATTGCCGGTGACCCCAAAGCCATGGAGAACAGAATGATAGGAAGTAAAAATGATAGCACTGGGAGAATAGTACAAAGGACAGAGGGGCTCCGGACATGTGGATTGTCGGGGAAAGAAAGGAAGCTGGAATTCTGGTAGCATGCGAACAAACATGATTACATTGTGTGGGGAAGGGAAATTTTATGATACATATTTACAAAAAAGACGACATAAAAGTACCTATTTTACTAAAGCTCATGTTAAACTGACTCTCCAATTTGTATAAAAACCTCAAAAAAGCCTTAGGAAGAAGTATTAGTGTAGTTAACGTATAAATAATGGAGAATGCATCCTATGTTATGAGTTAGGGTAGTAGATAAATATTTTAATTAAAGTTTTAAAATTTGGGAGTTTGTTTAACAAAGATCTGAAAACTGGATTTGTTACAGATTTAAAAAAAAAACTGGACAATATATGTTCTAGACAAAATACAGTTTAGTATTTTTGTATTTGTAGAAATTGCTACCATAATTTGAAGTCATTTTTAATGGTCATCTCTTGCTTTTTTTACTAAATCATGCCTTATATGGGCTGGAGTGATAGTATAGCAAGTAGGGTGACTGTCTTACACCTGACTCACCTGGATTTAACTTTTGACATGTCATGTGGTCCCCTGAGCACCACTAAGAGTGTAGTGCCAGGAGTAATCCCTGAGTACTGGCTGGTCATGGCCCAAACCCCTTTCACCCTCCCCACACTCCTCCAAAAAGAACTCCCACCAAATCAAAATCAGACCTAATCATCCAGAAACAACATGGCAGAGTTGAGAGAACAGGGATCCGAGTGGTGAGATGGGCTTGAGTGTTCCTTGATAAGCATGAGCTCTGCAAAAGGAGACTCCAGGAAGCCGGGGTTTCCTACTTTGTAGAAAAGGAAAATTGTCCCTTGTGGATTTGCTGTGAGAGGATATTTACAACATTCTTTGTAAAATTCCCTGGAACTCAGTAAATGATAGGTTCAGGGTGAAATCCATTATTTATTTAGTTTTGCCTCCCAAGCAGTGCCTCAGACCACACAGGCCGATATTTCAGTGTGAGGACCCAAGGATGTGGTGTTGCTCGCCCCAATGTGCTGGGGATGACCTGGGTTAACCAGATGGGGGTCTCCAGGGCCACACCCTGAGACACTCTGAGGACTGGGGATTGAATGGTTAGTGGTACTGGGGATTGAACCCTGGTCAACCCTGGCCAATTGATGCATGCAAGGCATGTGACATTTTAACTCCTGTAACATCTCTTTTGTGATCCATTTACTTGGGCCAAATTCAGGTGTCTACAAATACTCTAAAATTATTATTTTTTTCTGAATAACTTACTTTCTAGAAACCTTATTAGAAGAATTTACTGGTGTCTTGTTCCTAAGTACT